GATTTGGCTTATTAATTACCACTAGGTGGAAACATGTAGACATATATATTGAACAGAAGCATGCTGAAGTTAAGATAACCAACCAAACGAACACATAGAGCAGGATAGTAGGAAATTAAAGCATACTAGTCTAGAAAGAAGTACACAGAAAAACAGGTTAAGGTAAACTATCCATACTAGCATAAAGAACATGATAGGTTAGCAGGATTTGAGGCATGCTAGTTAAGAGAAAAACAAACATGAAACAGAGACATCTTGATGTCTATTGTGAACTGACTACATAGATATGGAATAGAGCATGGTAACAGAAATTGAAGCATACTAGTTAAAAGAGTAGTAAACAGGAAAGACATAGGGCAAACAGAATCATGTTGAAGTCTAACTACATAGAATATAGAAGAGAACATGATAACAGAAATGGAGGCATACCAGTTAAGGAGATAGCAAACAGGAAGGTGAATACAAATGAAATCCAAGGGTCTAGCCTTGGCTTTCAGCCGGCTAGACAGTGCAACAAATCAAAGAACTTTGAGTGCGTAAGTGTGTATCAGTGTGTGCTTGTAAGTATAGATGTCTAAGTTTGAGCGTGTGTTCGTGTGTTTGAAAAATCAGAATGGTGAGGTTATATAGCACATAGTAGAGTAAAACCAAATAAGGTAGGAGAATCAATGGTACACCAATAAGGCAAAGAGATCAATCAATCAGTCAATTAGGGCTTAACAAGAATCAATTAATAGGCAGGATCATGGAGGAATTGCTTAAAATAACACGGAATAAATCAGCAGCTGAGATTGAGGTCTAAATAAGGTAAGTAATAGGTCCAGAAGTCAATTAAAAGTCAGAACACAAAAATCGGGCCAATAACAAGGATAATTAATCACACAAATAAGGTAACAGGTAAATTAGAGATCATCTAGGGGTCGGTGAAACAATCAACTCACATAAATTAAGCTTAGTAAAATAATTAAGGCAAGCAGTGCCAATTAGGAGTCACAAATAAGGAAAGAACGAGTAAAGTCGCGGAGAAGTACCAATTTCAACAGAAAATATAGTTTCAAAACCTAATTAGGCAAAATAAATCAGTTAATCAACTTATTTTACCGGGGCCAAAGTGAACGGGCAAGAACAGTGGGACAAATAATCGAACAATGGAAAATTTTAAGCATATCGAAACACAGCGATGAAACATCAAGCAAAGAAAATTAATCGATCAGTAAAGAAGAAAGGCCAGAGTTGAGCCTTTAGGCATTTTAAAGCATTTGCAGAAACTTAAGAAGTTGAAACCCTAGTTTTTTAGGGGAAAACGAAAATCGGCCAACAATAATAAGAAAACAACAGAATACTAAAAGAAAAGTAACGAGCAAACTCAAATCGTTTCAAATCTAAGGAGATCTGAACGATTTAACCAAAAATAGTTAGGTCACGCAAAAAAATAAACAGAGGTGAGAAAGATCTAGTTTGAACCAGAGATTTGAAGCCATGAACACGAAGATACCAGCACTCACAAACATAGAGATGAACATAGGCAAGTTCATCGAGAAAACAAAGAGTTGAAGCCAAGTCTGTGTTGAATCTCTTCGAGATTCCATCAAACTACAAGGAAATCGAACAACCAGTAGAGGTAGGAGGCAAGAGAAGACAGTAAATCACCAGATGATTCCATATCTGGTTGGGAATTAAAGGGATTTGGAGGGAATTTTGAGTGACGGCGCTTTAGGGTTTGAGAGTGAAGTGAGGGGGAATTGAGAGCATTCAGGGGCGGCGAGTTTGGGATTATGATTAGGGTTTGGGGGGAAAGGAAATGAATCCTGGACCGTTAATCTTCTAAGATCAACGGCCAGGATCCCATCCGGGTGGGGGCAGGTTATTTAGAGATTGGGTTATGGGTTATATTTAAGTGGGCTGGGGTAATTTTGGGCTAGGACCGAAAATTAATTAAGGGAAAGGGGCTATTACTTAAATACCCAATTAACTTAAAAAATAATTTTATAAAATAATTTATAAATGATAAAAATATCATTTGTGCATGAAAATAATTTAAAATAATTACTTAGTATTATAAAAATATAAAAGGTTATTTCCTTGTGAAATAAGGTAATTATGCACACATGGGCTATTATTGCAAAGTTATTGCAATTATAACCCTAACATGTATATATGGCTATTCATGAAATAAATTAAAGCTTAGTATAAATATAAAATGACAAATTTAAGCAATAAAGTTATCATAAAACCGTTTGTGATGCAATTAGTAATTATTTGGATAATAAAATGCTAGAATAAATTAATTAAAATTCTTTTAAAATTATGGAAAAATGCTGGTTGATGCTCATGCACTATTTTGAAAGTATATATGTATTTTAAAAATATATGAGGGAAAGAATTTGGTATCAATAGGCACCCTTCTTCGATTGCGAACATCTCTTTTGCAGCATGCTGTTCTCCGTGGACTGTCTTCACTCCTTCCTTTCTTGGGAACTTCATCATTTAGTGGAGGGTCGACGGCACTGCCCTCATGCTATGGATCCACGGCCTTCCAAGCAAAGCATTATATCTCATGTCACCTTCAATGACATGGAATTTGGTGTCTTGTATGGTTCCGGACACGTTGACTGGGAGGATGATTTCTCCTTTCGTCGTTTCGCTTGCCATGTTAAAGCTATTCAAGACCCGAGATGCTGGTAGATTCGGTCGAGCAGCCCGAGCTGCTTCACGACCCTGGACCTGATTATATTCGCCGAGCTACCTGGATCCACGAGAACACGTTTAACTTGAACTTTATTCAAAAGGATAAAAATTACCAGTGCATTTTGTGAGGTTGAGATAAGGCCTCGATATCTTCCTCGCTGAATGTAAGGGCGTCCTCGGGCAAGTAATCTCGAATCCCCTTTTCCCTCGTGATGGATACTTTGGTGCGTTTGAATATTGGTCCCCGCGGGGCGTCGACTCCGCCGATGATCATGCGAATGACATGTTGGGGTTCTTCAGGTTCACTCTTCCTGTTTGCATCTCTTTCTCGGAAATGGTTTTTGGCCCGGTCGCTGAGAAATTCACGAAGGTGCCCCTCGTTGAATAACCGGGCTACCTCCTCCCTGAGCTGTCTTCAATCTTCGGTCTTATGTCCGTGAGTACCATGGTACTTACACATTACGTTGGGGTTTCTCTGAGAAGGATCCGTCTGTATGGGCTTGGGCCTTCTAGTATCTTTAATTTTGCCAATGGCTGAGACGATACTTGAGGCGTCGACGCTGAAGTTGTATTCTGATAACTTGGGAGCCTCTACTGGTCCCGAGCGCCTGTCAGGCCTGATTTTGCTTAAGAATCCCTGGGAGCTTTGGCCTCGATCCATCCTTCGATCATTCCGAGGTGTATTCCGCCTCGAAAAGTTGCTTCTGTCTTCGACATACGGTTGATATCTTTCCTTGTTGAATCTTGATCCCCAGTCTGTGTCCCTCGGTGGCTTGGCAGTGAACCTATTCGGGTGAACCGAGCCCGAGGGGGCTCCCAGCTGGTCATCCTCGACCCTAATTTTTGACTGGTACCGATTGTGCATGTCCGACCACGTCACACCTGGATATTCGATCAAGTTCTGCTTCAGCTGTCGAGATGCTATCGAACTTCTCTCATTCAAACCTTGCATGAAGGCCTGAACTGCCCAGTCATCGGAGACTGGAGGTAGTTCCATCTTTTCCATCTGAAATCGGGACACGAACTCCCTGAGCATCTCGTCGTCCCTTTGTCTTATTTTGAAGACGTCCGATTTTCTCGTGGCCACCTTTATGGCCCCGGCGTATGCCTTTACGAAGGCATCCGCCAACATAGCAAATGAATCAATGGAGTTAGGAGCTAAGTTATGGTACCAAATCATAGCTCCTTTTGACAGCGTTTCCCCAAACTTCTTTAATAATACCGACTCGATTTCATCGTCGTTCAAGTCATTCCCTTTTATTCCACAAGTGTATGAAGTAATGTGTTCATTAGGGTCAGTTATTCCATTGTACTTTGGTATATCGGGCATGCGGAATTTCTTGGGGATGGGTATTGGAGCCGCACTCGAGGGGAAAGGTTTTTGTATGAATTTTTTGGCATCAAGGTCCTTCAGAACTGGAGGTGCTCCGGGTATCTGGTCTACCTGGGAGTTGTAAGTTTTCACCTTTTTATCGTTGTCTTCTATCTTCTTTTCTCCTCACTCAATTCTTTTAGTCAGTTCCTCGAGCATTTTCATGATCGTGGGGTCAGTCCCCGAGCCGCTTTCATCGGGCCTTTCAAGCACTGGCTCGTGCGGCATGTTTACTGGTTCGGCAGTGTTAGGAGTCCTGTTCTGACTTTGAAGTTGAGCAATGGCGACCTGCTGAGCTTGCAGCATCTCGAATATCATTTGGAGGCTGACTCCTCCTTCTTCCTGCCCTCGTGCTTCTTGGCCTCCGGCCTGGGCTTCCCTGTGAGAATTTCTTACGAGGTCTGCGCTTGCGTCCGCGTATAAAGCGTTGTGGGAGCTGATATCAACTGGCTCCACGTTTGGCACTCCCCCAGGGTTTACGGGTGGTACACCGAGCCCTATACCGCTGTTTTCTCCAAGTCCTTCACCGCCGTGAGCAGGTGCATTTTGTGTGCTAGACATGATTAAGCCTGAAATCAAAGAAACTTTGACAAGAAAAAGTGTGAAGAATAACGTGTCTTATCAGAAAACTAGCACTAAAATAATCACTATTAACTTTATCCCCACGGCGGGCGCCAAACTGTTTACTTCAAAAAAATGAGTTTGACAATTAAAGATATTTTATGGTTTAAAAATACGTGATATTCTAATACTAGTGATTATGCAAGTAATATTGAGCTTAAGTAAGAAGAAATAAAGAACCAAATCAGTGTGGTTGAGGCAGTAGGGAGCCTCGAGCTTGATTTATCTAGGGATCTCGAGGTCAGCTAAGAGTAATAAGGTTTGAACAATAAAGTAAAGGCAATAAAGCTAAAAATATATTTTGAGAGCACGCTAAACAGAGAGAATAAGAATGTTCTATTGCAATGAATGATCTGATCTCTTTACAAAATGATTTGGGTCCCCTTTATATAGGAGGAGAAAACCCCAATATAGTACCTTACTCCTAAAAGTAAAGAATTCTATTGGTACAGATGTATAATGACCTAGTACGGATCCGTACCATTTCGTACGATCCTTATCCTATAATTAATGCCCATGTCCACGTGTCTTTGAGAAACTCCCTCTTTTTCTTAATTGACTTCGAGATAATGCTTCCCTTGATGCAGTCCGTATCAGACACTCGATCAGCTTCTCCGAGGTGGGTGTCCCTCAGCCGGATTCGACACCCTCTTCAAGTCTCTCGGACTCGGGTCTAGAGCCCGGTTTAAACCTTCAAAATCATACTCTTCGATTTTGACTGTATACAAATTCTAGGAAATTGTTTTCACAGAAAACATACTAAATGAATATTCACAAAAAAGACTTCGACGTACCTCACACTGCAACTAGTTGTCGTGAATTGGTAACTGTTGTCTGAAAGATAGGATGGAAGGTATACTGTTCGAGAGTGGAATATTTAGTAGGCGTTTGGACATAAGAATTGTAAAATTTAAAAAAATGGTGAAACTTTTTTTCAAGTGAAAATGGTATTTGAAATTTAGAGTTGTGTTTGGACATAAATTTCAGTTTGGGTTGTTTTTGAAGTTTTGTGAGTGATTTGAGTGAAAATTTTAAAAAACAGCTTTTTGCAGTTTTTCAAATTTTCGAAAATTTCCAAAATGCATCTTCAAGTGAAAATTGAAAATTTTATGAACAAACAATGATTCGAAAAAAAGTAAAATTTTTTTGGAAAAATCTTCCATCAAATTTTATGTCCAAACGGGCACTAAAAGAACTTGAACCGATTAATGGCTTGCTGACCAGTCACAAGCTCAATTCAGATTTTCTCTGAAATTAATTAAATCTAGAGTCGTCCCTTTTTTTCCCCAGTATAACAGTAATACAATATCGTATTGCGCCAACGTTGTAACTAATTTTCAGTGGAAATTTCAGTTCTCAAAAATTTGGTGTTCAATTATGGTTTTATCAAATAGTTCCTCCGCCGGAATCCAAATGAGAGAAAGAAAGAAGCTGCTCAAGTTTCTTCTAGTTAAATGTAGGTGTTATTTGTTATAATTCATGATTTTCGCACCTCTTACCGCAACATAACTGAAAATAACAGAATTTGCAACATGGGGTTAAAATCATGTATACAGAAAAAAGAGGAGAGAAGACTTCGGAATGAGAAAATTTTGGAACGTGCTCAAGTCGATTTCTTGATGTAACGTTGGGAGTTCATGGAATGAAAATAGTGATGGAGACATCAGACACCTTTAGAAAGAGGTGCCATCCGACACCGCCTCGCAAAATATTCTCCTTATGTATGTGTGCATATATTTTTCAAAAAAAAAAAAAAACAATATGTATAGCTAACATGTATATGTAAAGCCAAAATAATCCTAGACTGAAACCTACTTACAAGCCAAATTCGGACAGTAGGCCAACAATACTTGTGTAGTCTCCTGCATTGCCACCGGGAAAAAAGTAAGTACTGAGGAGATCTTGGTAATTCATTAATCTTATCAAAAGTAGACATTCAGTCACACATACTTCATTCAGATGCATTTCAGCATTTATGGCTCTCCTTATCAAAGAATGAAAAGCTGTGAAATCTCCATTGGGGCACGTTTATTAAGTTCAGGCAGCACCAAAATTTGGGAATTTACACTCAATAGAAGAGCTCTAAAGATAATATTCACCTTTGCGAGACACTCAAATGACGAAGGACGCCTGCAAAGGTTATGCGTTGCAGTCCTGCTCCAAACAAACGAAGTGCTACGCAGGTCTTGTATGTTCAGATTTTGAAAACAAGTGTTCTTTCCCACTTTTGTGGCTGATAAGGTATGGGACTAACAATCTTGACACCTTGAGGTACAGGCAGTTCGTCGTGCGTGGGAATCTTTTCATGCCAGACAAACTCATTTTCATGTTCATACTTCCGGAGCCGTCCAGTCAAGTCATCGATCACTTGCTTATAAACTAGTCTCCATGACTCTTCTCTTGGTATATGCTTTTCTGCATTTTGTATCACATGGCGAAGAACTCCGATTGAAGATCCTATTTGCCCTTCAATCTTTAGACTATCCGCAAGATACTTGTAACTGAGTAACTCATGTAGCATTTTAGAAGTTGTAATATAATCCTGTGAGGAACAGAAAATCAACCAAAGACATGTCAAGTTGCAGCTTGCAGCAGAAAGGCGAGGGTGATGGAGGAATTAGTGCTCATAAGCTGACTACGTTAAGAATCAAAACTTTGAATTGTTCTCAGTTTACTCAAAATCCCAAAAGAGAATGCCTATGAGCAAGCAACTAGTGAAATTCAAACATTCTGTCGCTTCAGACACCATGAAAATGTTATATGTATTATACTCCAGCAATGCACAATGATAAGGATTTTCTACACTTACAACAGAACATATGGCAATTCTTGGTTGCCGCTTTAGGTGAAAAAGGTAGTATACCTGCCTTAGGCTGCTACAAATTTAGCTTCTTTCATGTATCAACTATATGGTTAAGAATTACCATGATCTTCTGCCTTCTACAGCTATGCAGTGTTTCTCAAGGACTTTTTAACGAGACTATGTCACAAACCTTTGCACGCCACACATTATTAGGGCAAATTGATTAGAGCACAATATCTTTTTCTGCTATTTCTCCTCCATCAGCGAAATTTTATTGCTTGCCTTCTGATTCTATATTACTAAACTGGTATCCTGGTATTTCAAGGACTAAAAACTCCACTTGGGTGGACCATCTATTAGCTGCCTAAGTTTAGAGCAAAATGTACTAGGGAAACAACTTCTGACTAAATTGATGAATAAAACTTTTCCAGCGAGAATTATTGTCCTTAATAATCCAAGCATCGACAGATAAATTATAAATACTAAAAGGAACCAAAAAAATAGGAAATAAGTAGATCAATAAGAGATACCATTAAGCAAGATGAAATGTCTTTGCACTGCTTGGTGGCCGAGTGCAAGGTATGAATAGCTTCTTCAAGAAATTTACAAACACCATAGTGCAGCTTCGCCAAGAGTCCTCCAGTATTCCCTTTTTGCTCTGCCTTCCTCACACTCACAGCCTAAAATTTTTGGAATTATCCAACATCACGTATAACAAAAAACAGAACGTATTGATGCTCATATTCTAATGAACGAAATATAGATATTATCATTGTACGAAAGCTTGAGCAGAAAATGAAAACAAGATAAACGATTAAGACCAACCTGTGCCTCAGCTAAGCAAACAAGGGTGATTGCAGTAGAAACACTGATTACACCTTCTGGTGGCCTTTCTTGTGCCGATGCAGGCCGTAAACAGGGAAGGACATCGTGAGTTATATGATGGTAAACTCCTGCAGCTTTTCTGAGAAAGGAGGCTGATTGCACTAAATCTGCACGACGTAAGGGGGGAGTAAATAAGATATTTACATGATATATGGATCATGAGATAAAGGAAGGGACATATATTTCACACATACCTGTTGATAGAACTTCAAGAGCTCGATCTCGAAACAATGCACCAAGAACGAAAAGTGTCATTGCATGTTCCGAATGCAAATTATCCATCTGATAAAGTTTTGGTCCGTTCAGTTGAAAAAAGGATGATGAAGTGAGAGCACTGCTCCACCTAATCTTTAGGTCAGAAATCCATCGAACCATCTTGGGGTTGTCACCAACTAGATTTACATGGTGTATCAGGTTTCCCAAAAGTGGCAAATACTGTTCCACCTTCTGTATATTCTGCGTAGCTTGAAACAAAAATGAAAATGAGAAACTTTGATATGCTATTCATTTTTTTGAAGGCTTAAATATCTGCTGGTGCGTATTGAAGCCCTTCCAATCCCATTTGTCCAGTTAATTATTGATGCAGAATGTTATTATCACTGTTTTACTACGTTAGTAAGAAGGTATGATATAGAGATATTATCATGTTAGCAAGCAATGTATTATACGAGAATTTACCATAACTAGGACGCAAACAAGGACGAAAAGTGTCTTATTGAAACAACATTTATTATGGGTTCTTGATAACACATGAAACAAGACGACTACCTGTTCACATCGAGAAGTCAATCCCCCAGACATTTCCCTGGCAATAGCCTCTGTCACAAAGCTATTTTGGTTGATGGATTCAATAGCTCTCCTTCTGGAGCTCAACTCTTTTAATTGCTCCAGGGTACCAGGATCAGACGCTGGAAATGCATCTTCAAACAGAACCTGTCAACATTAGCACAGAGAAACAAAATTGAAAATTGAATCAATAGAACCATACAGCTTAGAATAAAAAGCACACTTCTTTTTTAAAATTTTCGATGGAATTTTCTTAAAAGTCCAATTCATGATTCAGGCATAAAGAAGTTCAAATTATACAATTTCACTATAATATATCAATTTACCCAATGCTTAAGGTGGAATTGTTGCATGTACCTCCAATATTAGCATATCCTAGGGCCAAAGTGCTCCAGAAATCCTCAAAGAAGAACATTCTTAAATGGGAAAAGGTCCAAACTTGCTCTTGAACTTTGCGAAATCAGTTATCCATACCCTCCGTTAAAACTTTGCTTCAAAAACGATCTCGTCGTTACACAAACATATCATACCTTGCCCTTAATTTCTAATGTGGACATTTCTTTTTGTCCACATGTGTGCGTAGCAATTTAAAATGGTTAGCATAGATAAAATATGCCACATGGAGCTTCGCTGAAAATGACGGGTATATAGGATATCATTGAATAGCAGTAAGGCCTTTTTTGAAGCAAACTATTAAACAAGGGCATGAATGACTAATTTCGCAAAGTTCTGCAGTATTGGACTTTTTTGCACTTCTTAAATAACAAAAATCATTGAGATCTTACATATCAAAGATCAAAGGAAGAGAAGAGAAAATGTCTGCATATAGTTAAGCACATGCTTAACAACTCTCACACAGACACACATAAAATATTAGCCGATAAATTACTCTTAGAACTTATAAGCAAATTTGTTTCTGAAAAACTTACGCAATCCCCACGCAGCTTTAAGTATGAACCTTTACCTATATGACTAGCAGGGGTGTATCTAGGTTGAGGGATATGGGTTCACGTGAACCCATGCTCCTCTACCCAAACCATATATAACAATATTATATTTTCTAAAATTACTCAAATATATGTGGGTGCACCTATGCTCAAAGACTCCTATGGTGCAATAACAATTGGGTGCACCTATACAAGTGAAATTGGCGGTTAAAATCCCATTCCGGACCGTCTTGTTCTCGGCACAGAATGTCATGATGGATGAGGAGGCTCAAGGATGGTATTGGGCCGTCCGAAGATGCAAGAATTGGGCCAACTAGGAGAAGCAAAAGAACTAAAAGACCACCACACAGGCTTTCGGGCTTTTTCTGAGATCCGGGTTGATGAATTGGGTACATTGGAATGGGAACATTAGCTAGGGCACACAAATAGTTAAATAGCAAAAGAACTAAAAGACCACCACACAGGCTTTCGGGCTTTTTCTGAGATCCGGGTTGATGAATTGGGTACATTGGAATGGGAACATTAGCTAGGGCACACAAATAGTTAAATAGCCAAATAGTAGCACTAATGTAGGAGCTTGAATAATGCTAGAAAACTTCCCCTCTCTAGTCTCTTTCTCCCTCGCCTATTTCTCTTTGCGGCTATGTCTCTCCCTCTACTTTCTTTCTATTCCTATCCTAATGTCATTAATGTCTATCATGTTATTTATTATTTCCTAAGTTGCTCGGACTCGGGTGCGCGTATCCGATACTGGCACGGATCTGAGTGTCGGATTTGGAAAAATCTAAATTTTAAGATTCGGAGGTGCTGATCCGGATATGGATACAGGTACGAGGATTCGGCTAAGAAAATTCAAAATTATAAAAAATAGAGCTATAAAGAGAAAAAGAAAGTCATTTAAGGCCTTCCACCAACTCTCCATCTATATCGTCTGCTACTGTCTACCAGAAGTCCGAACTCAGAACACGACCCTTTGAATTCTTGGTTTTTTTAAACATAAAGCAACAAATATGAGACAAAAGTACTACAATATTGAAGGTATGCCATTTCCCGTATCTTAAATCTGTTTTATTTTTAATTTTGAGTAATCAAAATCTCAATTTTTCCCCCAAATTTGCCGATGGACTCAGGTCAAAGTATCCGAAATTAGTTGACCTAATCCGGGACGTATCTCACACCCGCAACCGTCCCATGTCGAGACGGGTGCGGCACCAAAAACGAAGAGTCCACGCAACCTAGACTATTTCCATGTATTAAGTTTTGCTATTAATCAATATCAATTGTTATTTGAGAGGCTCATTACACACACACACATATATATATATATATATATATATATATATATATGTGTGTGTGTGTGTGTGTGTGAAAATCACTAAAATTTCAAAGAAAAAAAAATACAATTTTAATCCTACAATTTTAAATGTGTAGTAGGTTAAGGTAAGAGACTAAAGTTGAACCCGTCAAATGTAAATTATAAATTCACCTCTTCACAGTAGTGCACCCATCCTTCTAAAATCCTGGATCCGAGGCTTCTGGTGACTAGCTACAATCTCATTTTTTTCGTTATGCTATTTCTTGATCACCATTATGCATATTCGAATTACCAAAAACTGTTAATGGGCATTAAGCTGAAAGAAAGAAGTCATCCATCAACTCAAATCCCGAGAAATAGAAGAAACCATTTTCAGAATTGTAGCTTAAACATGTAAATTTACCAACTTCATACAATCTGCTAATAAAACCCAATAGCAAAATACTTAATGATACTTACAAGTTTGTCTTGTTGTGGTTATATATGTAAAAAAAGAGAGGCAATACCTGGGGAGATTTCTGCTTTGAAAGACCTTGAAAATTTATCATCATGTCTTGATTCTCTCTCCTATAATTTCCCGAAACCCGGTTTAGTTCATGCTATAATCCAACAGCAATTGACACGATTCTTTACTTGTTGAACTCAAACAATGAATTACGGTGAAAACCACACAGAAAAAGGGATTATTGATTAAATATTTTCAGAAGAAACTTCTGGTACTGTATGTGAAAACTTAAGGAGTGCAAGAAACGTTGATAAATAATAGCATTGACCAGAGAAGAGAGTCCACAAAATTGGAGGGTCGCTTTCAATTAAACTTCTACTCGTTTTTCCCGTTACCTTCTCTGCTAAGAATACCAATAATTTTGCGGGTGATCCGTGTGGGTTCCCGCCGGTCCAAGCCGTTCAGCTAGACTATGAGTTTGGGCCGCTGGCAGCTATTAGGACCAATAGCAATAAATAAGGACTTTTACACAGGTGAAGTACAAAAATAACCAGCAAAGTGGATGGTATTAAATTGAAATTTTTAGGTCCTATAAGGTTGATATCTTATTTATTTTAAATAAATACTTTTTTAAAAATTATATTTCATAACTACTTTTTAATTTTTATAGCCAAATATCTATTTATGGTTACCTCCTACCTTTAAGCCATAAAATACTCTTTGTATTATTTTTCTCTCTCATTCTTTCAGATTTTTCTCCACCCTCTCTCTCTCAATGCCAGTCTTTCTCCATGAATACAATCACTATTCTTCACTGATTCATATCCATTATCTCGCGAATTTTTATTGTCAGTGGGCTGGGGCTCTGAATCAATGTTGAAATCAAGCCCTAGAGAGAAAGATCCACCCCATTTTGATGGCCGTTGCTTTGCAATGAAATCTGGACATGACCACTGCAACTCTTGCCTCTAACCACCTCCATTGCTGCTTTTCTTCATCTACCAAATTCGCAATTACTAACAAAAGAAGACAATCTGCTATTGAAAATAAGAAATTTCTTTCGTTTTTGAGCCAAATTTTGAGAGTTTCGAGTCAGAATCGCGGCCCTCTTGACGAGACGACATTAGGGTTGTTCTTGAACAAAGACGACGGAGTTTGGGGCTGAGCAACTTGAAAAGTCTATTATCTTTTTTTCATTGTATTTCAATGTATCTCGCTATATTCTATGTATTTCATTGTATTCATTATCTTTTTTTTTATTGTATTTCAATGTATCCCGCTGTATTCCATGTATTTCATTGTATTCACCGTCTCGCTATATTCCATGAATGTATTCATATGTTTTTTTAATTAATATAATTTATGTATTCAGATTTATATATGTATTCAAATGTATCTACAGTATGTATTCATATGTTTTTGCACTATAGATGACCTGTTATACTTCATGTATTCAATGTAATTTTATGTATTTAACTGTATTTAATGTAATTATATAATTTCTCTGAAGATTGCTATATTTTTGGGGTGTTTTTCGATTGAGAATCTTTTTTATAACTGGAAATATAATTTTTGTGTGTTATAATTGAGTTTGAGTTATATTAGGAGTCTATTATGTTAATTGATTCACTTTTCGTTTAAAAACAACTGAATAGACCATGAATTGCGCTATTTACGTTACTGTATTCACCAATACATATCGTGAATATAGTCGAATACAATAATCTGTCTAGCTGTAATCCCCTGTTTCACGCCGAGAAATGCTACTGTATTCATGAATACAGCAGCTTAAATACATCCAATGCACTCTAAAAAACCTGAAAACATAGCTATAGGAAGTAAGATAGTAAATGGTAGCTACAACTAGCTAATAACCACTAAACAATAGTGGTTTGTGAAAATTTCTCTATTAATTTTTCGTCCAGTTTGTCTTATGGACAGAATTTCAAGTTTAACGAGTGTTGCCCCTCACTTGCTTCAGTAAAAATTGTACGGGGCGCCATATTTGGTCGTTCCTTTTTAACTTATACCCGTTTTATTTTTCCGTTTGCATCCGTACCCATTTTTTTTTGTTAAAAGCGTTTTAAAAAGACGATTTTGCCCTTCTTTAATAAAAGACTATTGATAAAACTGTAGACTGCAAGACAAAACTTCAGCATGTTTTGGTGTGAAGTTTTAGCAAATGAACTAAATAACTTCAGCATGCATTAGAAAAAATTTATAAGAAATAACATACTGCAGGACAAAACCTTAAGCATGTTCAGGCTGAACTTTTTAGCAAATGAACTAAAAAACTTCAGCTTGTTTAGACTGAAGTTTCGGATAAACTCAGGACAAAACTGTAGACTGCGTTACAAAACTTTAGCATGTTTTGGTATGAATTTTTAGCAAATGAACTAAATAACTTCAGCACGCATTATCAAAAACTCTTTAGAAAATTACATACTGCAAGACAAAAACTTAAGCATGTTTAGTTTGAAGTTTTAGCAAATGAACTAAAAAACTTAAGCATGTTTAGTCTGAAGTTTTAGCAAATGAACTAAATAACTTCAGCATGTTTAGTCTGAAGTTTTAGCAAATGAACTAAATAACTTCAGCATGCATCAGCAAAAACTCATTAGTAAATTACATACTACAAGACAAAAAGCTAAGAATGGTTAGTCTGAAGTTTTAGCAAAATGTTTAGTCTGAAATTTTAGCAAATGAACTAAAAAACTTAAGCATGTTTAGTCTGGAGTTTTAAAAAATGAACTAAATAACTTCAGCATGTTTAGACTAAAGTTTCTGATGAAACTAATGACAAAATTGTAGGCTGCACGATAAATAACTTCAACATGCATTAGCATGAAGTTTTAGCTTCAACTTGAAACAACTTGATGTTACATTAGCACGAAGTTTTAGCTTCAACATGAAACAACTTCATGCAAGTGTGATTTTGAAGATAAATCTGGCCAAGTTTCTGGTTTTTTTGTTAAAGCTGCTGAGAGGAGAGGGGGAGATCTTGTTTCACGAATGAGGTTGAAGATCATGCGATTAATTAATGCGTGATGCAGGTTTTATATCTTTTGTCAGGGGTGTAATTGTCATACTATTACGGATTTTTTGTCTGTTGGCTACCAAATTAATAATTTTTAAAAATAAGGTACAGGTTAAGGTGACACAAATATAGGGTGCGGCTGCAAATCCCCCCTTGCTTCGTGGGAAACACTTTTAACTTTTGATCATTTTGCCTATGATGCAAACGAAGGTCAAAAGTTAAAGACCACCTAAAAAAGATCATATTTGTGCATTTTTTTGCTTTTACATAATTCCTTAGGCAGAACAAAAAATCGTATGTATCCATTTACAAAATTCGTCCTTTAAAAATCATATATCGTATATCTTCAAGATATACATTCACATTTTGTGTACCATAATAGTTTACAATAGTAAAAATAGTTAAATGTATGGTTAATAAAATCACTTATTTTTCGGGAAAATATTTCCTTCGTACCAAACACACCCATAGTGTATCCACATTTTTAGGAACAAAGGACTATTTATTCTCTCCATTTTTGCAAAATGATCAATTGATATTTCAATGAAGTGGAAGTCGAAGATATTGATATAAATAATTACATTTCTATCAGATATACTTTAAATAAAGATAGTTACATGTTTAATACAAAATTCAAGTTTTTAATCTCACAAATTACCAGAGATAAAGTTGTAACTGAAAATTTAGAAAAGAAATTGTAATATTCCAAATCAACAGAGGATAAACTTGTCATTTAACTTCAAAATAAAAGAAGATAAGGAATGTTTTATAAGGAAATGAGGGACGAAGGGGGTCAACAAAGTGGGAAGCCGATTCCGGCCATCTTAATTTCTTTTATTGAAGAATTTTGATTTATTTTGTAGTTTAAAAGTAAGGAACGTGATTTGATGTTATTGTTAACGGCTGCTGTTAATTCATTTTTGCCATATTTAGTTCTTACTAGTTTCTGAACACGTGCGTTGTACGTGTATCCCTTGATATTCACTACAATTTAACGGTTGCACATGTATGCCTTGTCATTCAATACAAGCTTTTTAAAATGACTAGTTTCTCGGCACGTGCGTTGCACGTGTATATCGAATTATGTAATATATAATTTTGTAAATAATATTAATAATATTAAAATAAAAGTTTGAGTAAATAATTATAAATAAGAAGATAAATTACAATTTCTATGAATTACCAATATAAATTGCGCATGATAACTTATTTATTGAGATTAAGATGGTTGGACATCGTCTACATTACCAAGCAATAGTTTTGTTTCTTCTTATTTGAAAAGGTAGCAACGGTTGGAAACAAAAAAAATAGGAAATTTTAGTTATAAATTATTTTGAACATTAACAACTAATCTGAAAGATTTTATCCCTTCAAATAAATTTATTTTTTTCTCGGTATAAATTGGATATTTAGGTTATTAAGATTTTTTAATTTTTTCGTATTGAGATTTCCACTTATACAATAATATAGACATTGAAATAATTCAACTTAGCAAAAAGCAAAAATATTACTAATTGTGTGCTTGAGTAATCCAAATAATCTGTTAGAAGAGTATAAAATAAATTTACATTAAATTTAAATTTTATAACTAAATATGCATCTGTCGCTTGTCAATTTATGTTAACAGAAACAATTTAGTGCATATTTGGAAAGAAAATAAAGAGAAGGTCATTGTATTTTATATCACCTAATAAATTGAAAGTAAAGTTCTAAATGATCTAATGCATGTAACTATATAATATCCCATATAGATTTCAGTTTAGCAATAGAACAACAAAGTTAAATTTAACATTAACTAATTCATTCCTAAACACAACAAACCTTTATTGCAAGATCATGGAATAACTCTTCTACCCTAACGTTTACATCAGTTGTCTTTCATAAAAATACACAAAGGAAGAAATTAATAAATAAATAATAGGGTACCTGATTGTGTTGTCACTTTCTCTGTGATTCATTACTCTGATTCTTTCTAAATTTTTATGTTCTCAGAATCTCTGGCAAATGTCGTGAGTTTATAGTGGAGATCTCTAGGAAGAAGAGGGAAGCACATTGATCTACCAAGGCAGTGCACTACAATCAAAAGATTCGGACAAATAGTCACTTGAAAATTAATGTAGCAAAAGAGATAAAATAGCATATCAATGTTATTGCAGGTAAATTGAGTAAATGCTAAAGATATGAAGCTATTGTTAAAAGATTGATTGGATGTACGCTTTTGACATTGCAATCTAATAAATACTTTTGCAGCATCAAAGTAATAAAATGTATACTTTATTTTTCATCACAAACTTTAAGTCTTGAGCAGAGGCAGAACCATAATTTGAACTTTATGACTTTTAAATTCTAGAATAAAGACATCAAGTTTAGAAATTGAGTTCCGAATTTAAATTTTTATACACATTTAGTGAATTTCTTAATACAAATA